AAAAGCATGTGGAGACAATCTTGCCAACAGCAGAGGACCCACACTGGTCTCTTCAGCCACACATGGCTCTGGTCCAGCCTGGCTTTGTCCCCATCCCACTCTGATGCCCACCTCCCATGACCTCCTCTAATTTCTTGGGTTCTAAAAGACAAAAAAGCTGTAACAAGATCGAAATTTACATCAAATACTGAATTAGTTTAAAGTTAAAATATAAAAACAACCCTTTATAAAAAGAACATCGATAAATACCTACTAAAAATAATACTTTTGTTATTATTTTATTTTCAAACTAAACTAACTACAAGTGTCGAAATAATATGCATATTGGAAGATTACACCTGCATCTTTTATTGCCTATAGAATGTAATAAAGGTGTTTTTATTTGACAAAATACTCAATCACAATAGTAGTTTGATATTTAGTTTTATACATTGTACCGATACTGTTTTGAGGTGGTGCGATTCCCTTTCTTCTACAGTGCAATGCAATTGGAGCCAAGAGCACCCCCGAGGCAGACCCCACCCACGCCCCCCTGTCCCTGGTCTTCAGGCACAAACATCTTTCATGAGCAGAGGGAGGATCATACACAGAGCTACTGCTTCAAAGCTGCTCTCACGCTTCTTCCCTCCACAGCCTCCAGGTGAATTTGGGCATTATGGATCCATTTGTTAGAGATAAAACTACCATTGTAAATACACGTTGACATTCTCTGCCTGACGTATTGAATAAAGAATTTCATATTTTCATTGTATGGCAAACGGAAATAAATGATGACAGAAGGCCGTGGAAAGCAGCACATTCAAAGTTTCTGCACATTATGTAACTAGGGCTATAACAGTGGTCTGGAAATGACGCTCTATTGATGACGGCACCTGTGAGAGCAGACATATCTAAAACACATTAAGTGATTTTTAAAGTAAAGGACTGAACTGGATCTGTAAACCCTGTACACTTGTGTGCATTGAGAAAAGCTAACACAGGAGCAGCCAGGATAACTTACCCTTAATGCAACTCTGATTACTCTGAGATGACCAGGTCCCAGCACTGATGTCAGTGCTGGGACCAGCACATGAACAGAGCAAGGCGGCCTTGGGCTTTGTTCACTGAGTTGTGGATGAAGTTGCTCATCAGCCCACTCAAAATACTCAAACATTTTTGTATTGACAATTTTGCCAAATCAATAAAAACTGTTTGACTTCATCCATGTATGAAATTTCAAACGAGTAATTCTGGAGTTCATCTGTATATTTCTAACTAAAGAAGCAGAGACACTGAAGATAAACGCATGCAATCCACTTTTGCTTACTTTTTCTGCTCCAGACTTCACCAAAGAGTCTGAGTAGCAGTCACACCTCGCTCTGTTCGCCTTATGCAGTGTGCAAAAAGATTAATAATAAAAAATAAACAAACTACATTCAGAGATGACATTGTGTGTTCTAGTTTAAATATTCCAGCATTTGGTTTTATTCAAAGTATACAAAATATTGAACGACTCCCTCTGAAATGACTCTCTGAATATTCTAAAATATGTTTTTGTCTCCCTGCCTAAATTGATTTTGTTTTAATATGCTAGGCACATTAAAGCCTGATATAATGAGTTTTGCTTTCCAAAGTTATATTTTAGAAGCAGTTTTGACCTTGTACCAAATGTTAAGGCAATCTAGTGGTTGTTGCAGTGACAGCCTGCTTAGCATTGCCCCAATTATGTTGAATTGAGTGCCTGAGGCCCTGGGGATGATGGGAAAAAGATCAAGGATGAAGGCTAAAGGCTGGCTAATTCCATCCATCATGGTCACGTCTCTCTGGGCCACATTGTCTGTTCACTTCCTCTTTTGGTGGTTAAGTTCAAATCAGCTCATAACATCGACTTTCACACCAACAAGTGTATCCGAAGAGGCGCTCTGCCGTGTTACCATCTAATAATGTGCTGAGGGGAAACCATTGGCTGCTTTTGAAGGTAGCTCCTCTCAGCTGTGGGCCTTTTCCCTTTTCAGCCGGTCTCATAACAATAGGTGCAGTCAGGGAGAGGTCATAAAAAAACACTGAAAGCATCTCCACTCCTCCTCTCTCCCTCTGCCCATTCTCTGTGCACAGAAGGACAGCCACTAACTGTCCTGTGTGTCACAGGAGCGATTGTAAGGAAGTTAGAGCAAAGGCTCTGCACCTTGTCAGGCCCTGGTAATATTTACGCAGAGCTCAATATACAGTAGATGAAATATTAAATATAATACTATTGATAATAAAAATATATTATATATACCTTGTGTTCCAGCTGATGGCAAGCAGTGTCCTAATTAGACTAAACACTGACAGGACAGTGCAAGTGCACAGTCTCCAAACAAAGTGCACCAGTTCCAATGGCATTCTACACACATTCCTGACATAGTGACTGACTGCTGCACCAAGAAGTGAAACTCTAGTTTACGAGGGTTTGAGCTCCTGGCCCAGAGCAAAGTTTCACAGTTATTGTTTCGGTAATATCTACTCTATAAACACTGCTAGTCCTCTCTGGAAGGCAAACATGTGATACAAAACAAAGCACAAAACATAAAAATATGATTTGTATAATTAGTAATGAAATTAAAATTAGTGATATATTATTATATACTTTTATATTATATTCACTACCATATAAGTAAGTAAGTAAGTAAGTAAGTGTGTTTATTTGGGCATCTAGAAGATACAAAATCAATGATACAAAAGAGAAGCACAGAAGAAAACCAATAGGTTGGCAGAAGCTGGGACAGCTCATCTGGGCCTACCCCCTGATAAATGTATATGTATGTAATGATATAAAATGTATATGATGTACTTATACATTGGCAGCATTGGCCTTTGAGCCTGAAGGTCGTGGGTTCAAGCCCACCGTAAGACCTACTTCACGACTCCCACTGATGACTGCTGTCGTTGTGTCCTTGGGCAAGACACTTAACCCCACTTTGCCTGAAGCCCCCACTGAAAGATCTCAGCTCCTGTGGACTCACCACCTGCAGGAGGATCAGTGAGGGGCTGGTGCTATGTGTACTGGGTGCAGCTCTGACTGCCACCCCCCCGACCCAGAAATGGATTAAGGGGAAGAAAATGGATGGATGGATGGATGATGTACTTAAACAGAGTATAAATATGAGTTTATGTCTGTTTCTATCAATCCTAAAAGCTGGAAGTACTGACAGAGGGGAAAGGTAAGTTAAGAGGGAGAGAAATAGGAAGGAAGCCCCCTCAGTCTGAGCCAATAAAAGGAGCTGCTCTCTGGGAGATTAAATATGAACGGAACAAAACAAAACCAGGGCTTTGAGACCCTCCGAGTTCTAGCCATTCTTTTGGCCACAGTAGCCTAGCAACCACTGCTTGACCAGTCCATTGTGCAAACGTATGTTAAGCTTTTATCCCTCATTAGCAACATTCCTCCCTGCAGGCTGGGATTTTCCAGATTAGGTTGAAAAATACAAAAGAGATTGAACAAATCTCAGTGACTTCCAACATATTACTTTACTGGCTAATCATTGATCAAATAGCTGCATGTTTGTCTGTGTGAAAGTGTGTACACTGGGAGTTGATAAATGACTGGCTGAGAAGTTGAGCCAAGACTAAGATGGGGTGTTTTGGCTGTGTTTACCTGCTGCGGTTCCTTATTAACTTTCAATGAATCAGTGCAACTAAAAACTAGTGACAAATGTGTCAAAACTAGAACGAGTATCGTCAACTACAGTATGGGTGACGTCACTCCTTAAAACAAATTATTTTCTAAACAGACGGGTCAGAGCTTTCCAATATTAGAGGTTACATAATTATTATCATGGCTGGATTACTTTATGAAGCCGTTAAACTTTCCATGGTCCTCCATTCCAATCTTTAGATTGAGTCATACAAATGAAAATGGTCAACAGAAGTGAACCATACCGTTTTATGATTGTGATTCAGACAACATTATTCATGAAGTTGTGTAAGGAGTCTGAGCTGAGCTCTAATCTATACATTTATGTAACTTAAAAAACAACATTGTTTACCTAAGTATACCTCAAACCATGCATTTAAGCAACCTCCATTATACATTCATTAACTTGTCATGAACTATTGGCAACAGTCCATGATCATGCCACAATATCATTTCAATTGTCAAAATTCAAAAGGCATTTCTGGAAACGCCATGCAGTCTTGATTTACAGCCTGCATTTCAAATATGGATTTAGGTGTGTGTATGTTTGCGTGGGTTCTGTAGTAGTAGTGCCTGTTCTCCTGAGCCTCAGTCAGCAGAGGCACAGCTCCCACTCTGCCCAGAGTCACTGGTGACACAAAAGGGTCATGTTACACTCAACACCTGAGGGCTATGACTCTTCATCTTCTACATACCTTTGCAACAAAGATTTCAAACTTTTTGTGGCCAGAAGTCACCAGCTGCGGTCAGCCGATTCATTCAGACAAAAATGTTTATATTTAGACTGAAAAGTTGCAGAAACTCTCATAAATAGTGATTTGCCAGTATGCATAAGTGAGCATGTGAGGGGGGTTCTTTAGTGAAATGGTCTAAACTTCTAACAAGCAGAAAGGTAGGTTGAAAACATGGTTTATGAGAGTTTCGTAAATCACTGAATATTTGAACACAGTGATAGTCGAAGGTGAGGGGGGCAGGGAGGGTGTGTAAAAAGAGTGAGGGGATGGGAATCAGGGGGCAGCTGAGCAAACTGAGCCAATTTCACATCCTCATGATAGTATGCCCACCCTCCCACACACTACCTATTCTAATAGACATATAATAAGTTTTCACGATTAAAATATATAATACAATAAAATACAAAAATATAATACATTCTAAGAGAGCGAGTATAACATTGAAATCTAGTGCAGTTTCAGAATCTCCCAAAGTATACACTCTGTAACTACTGTATATGTTCTTCATATGTGTGGCAGATGTTTGCCCAAATTCAACACAGAAGCTTGAGTGTGTAATCAATAAAAGAGAACTATAATAATACATAAATGTAATGACAAATACAACTTACTGTTACTAGACTTGAGGTCCCGGTGAATGATGGGTACCACGGCGCCCTCGTGCAGATAGTGCATCCCTCTGGCGATCTGCACGGCCCAGTTGACCAAGATGTGAGGTGGGATGCGTCTTCCAGTCAGCGCCCGGTTAAGTGTCCCTCCTCGGGCATATTCCATGACCAGACAGAGGTTTGGCTCCTCCAAACAAACTCCCTCTAGTTTTATAATATTCGGATGCTGCAGCATTGAAAATAGTTTTGCTTCTTGTTTAACACTGGCAGCGGTAGCTGTTATGTCCTCGTCTGGATCTTGTCGAGCGGCCTTCACAGCCACCTCCTGGTCTTTCCACGTCCCCCGGTAAACTTTGCCAAATCCACCTACGCCAATTATTTCTTCTAAAACAAGTTCACTGAATGGTATTGCCACAGGAGCGGCTGGTGCGCGCTCTGGTGCACTGGTGACAGGGATGCAATAGATTGCAGGCTGATACGTGATATAGTTCGATGGAAAAATCCCGACCCTGTGGTTTACTTTCCCCGTCCACCAGCCCTCGTCCCCAGATATTGCAGCGTCCTTTGACAGGACCTCCACCACGTCCCCACGCCGCAGACTAAGCTCGTCTTCCCCACTGGCCTCGTAGTCATAAGCGGCTGTCCACAGAGACCGAGACGGGCACAGAGGGGCAGAGTGGGCCCACGGCTGCACCGTGGGGGGCTCAAGCCAGCCATGCTCCCCTGTCCCACCGCCTTCACCGTTTGGGAAAGCGGCCTGAGAGACATCCATGTCTTGGTGGTCGTAGCGGCACCATAGGGTGCAGAGCTTTTAGGTCAAACTAAAGAAAGTTGAAGAAGCATCGTTACGTCGCATCTGACATGGCTCAAGTAAAAGAGCAACGGGGAATTCCCTGCACAGTGCCGCCGCTGTGTCCAAAGTCCTGAAGATCCACGTCGTCAGTCCGTCGGTGTCTTCAGAGAAAAGTTTTAAAAGTAAAGCGACAATTCGAAACTAGTGCCATCTGTAATAAAGGCTTAGTAAGTAACCCCGTAAGAAAAAACAACTGCAGAAAAATGAGCACTATATACCCCTGGTCTGCAGAGAGCTAACGCAGTGCTACAGCTAGCCTCCTCCACACTTGATGCATGTTCGCAGGTGCCGCAGGAGGTGCACCTGTCGCGGGCTCCAGGACCACTGGCAGGCTGAAGGCTGTAGAGTACCAGGCAGGTTGATCAAGTGAGATGTTCATGTGTGGGCAAGTTTGATGGATAGTTTTAGCACAAATGTCATCACAATCTCCAAAACATACCTCACTTTTGGCTAGCAGGTTAGCTTAGCATAGGACCTCTATCCAGTCCCACAGTTGGAAAAGTTATTGAGTAGCGTTAATACGAGTTATTCCAAAACCATACGAAACTGTATAAGCCAGTTGTTCACGCGGAGGTAAAAATGTGTTAAAACAGCTTGTTTCCAGGTCAGCGGATGTAAAAGGCTGTACATATCCGTCTGTGTTGATCAAAACAGCCCATGGTCCTGTCCCGTTGGAGGCAGGCGTAGCAGTGCGCTGCACAGGACTCTGCACTCCCCTGCTGACGCTGGAGGACGCGCATTGGTCCATCACGGACACGTGACCACCATAACACGGCGGGAGGGGCGGGGCCTGCGGAGGAATGTGGAGCAGCGCGCGCATAGCGCAAAGCTGTGGGAACTGTGACCATGGACCTTAGATGGACTGGTAACCACCATGGTCACCATAGACACACACAGACTCACATACATACACACACACACACACACACACACACACACACACACACACACACACACACACACACACACACACACACACACACACACACACACACACACACACACACACGCACACACACACACACACATACACACACACACACACACACATACACACACACACACACACACACACACGCACGCACGCACACACACGCACGCACACACACACACACACGCACACATACACGTTTTTGTTACCTGGTGGGTCCCTTTGACAGGGCCGTTCAGAATGGGACCCATAGACATAATCTTTTTTTACCAAGACTTTAAGTAATACAAAACAGTCAATAGAAACCAAACAACTATTTTAAAGGAATTTTATTTTAGATTTTGTTTTCGAATTGCAGTGATTCTATTTTTGACATAGAATTTAATGCCACTCCATGTCCGATGTCTAAGGTCATCTGGTGAGGCATTAATGCAGGCCAGGCAGTGAGACTTCCCAGGGACCTTTCCAGTCTGTATGAAAGGTGTCATGGTCTTCTCCACAGCCTTCACCTCAGATGCAGACCATGGCTTTCTTACACGTTCTAGGGAGAGAAATAAAAATATATTAGCAATATACACTCCCAGGGTGAGGACCAAGCAGCCTGGCTGTAATCCCCCACCTGGTACACTTACCAGAAGGGGCACTGCCACTACCATGGGGTGCATCTGGATGAATGGTTGAAGGTTCTCCGCTTGAAGTTTCTTTTAGCCCGTCCGTTTGTGAGAGGATCTCTACTGCTCTCCCTGTCGCACAGAAAATAAAAATACAAGTGGCCTTTAGGGGAAAAAAATCATACATATTTTAATAATATCAAGAATTACCTTCAGGCTCAATTTGGTATCTGGTCGAGGCTCTTTCCTTCGAATTCCGTCACTCTTCCCTGCTCCATGGCCATCAACACTTTGCTGATTTTGGCCAGCTCCAGTGTCCCCTCTGGTAGTCTGTAATATTGCATATCTACCCCCCCCCCCCCACCACCCCCCCCCCCCCCCCCTTCTAATATATATATAATCTCTCGCATCACCCACTCCTCCCCCCCATATGTGATATTATAGTATTTTTATATATACACCTTATTTTTCCCCCCTCCCCCCCCCACCCTCCTCCCCCCCCCTGTATGTGTTCCCCCCCACCCCCCCCCCCCTCCACCCCCCACCCCCCCCCCCCCACCCACCCCCCCCAAACCCCACCCCCCATCCCCCCCCCATATACCTATTATTTTTTTGGTTTTTATTCACCCCACCATTATCCACACCCCCCCCTCCACCCCCCCCCCATATCCACCATCATTCATATCCGCTATCCCCATTCATCCTCACCCCCCTCTACCCCCCATCCCTAAGTTACACAGAGACACCCATCCCACTCCTCCTGTCACCCGCTCTCGCACTCACACATATATGTGTGTGTTGTTATATTCACCACCTAACCCCCCTTACCTCCACCACCATCACATCAGCATACTCTCGCTCGCCTATTGCCCCTCCTGTGCCCCCTCCACCCTACCCACCTACCTGTCCCCCCTGTGTGTGCCCCCCCCCCCACCCTCCCCCCCTCTCCCCCCTAGTCTTGTCTCACCATTAGAGCCTGCCGCCCCCCGGTTTGTATGTGTTGAGTAAGGCGTAGCCTGGCAGAAGGCAGCTCCTCTATTCATAGCGATCAATACAACATCACGAACTGTCCATCTAATACTCGCGGACGTCGTGACTTTATGCAAATATTAAATCAACCCTTTACCACTCCACCATATGACCCTCTCACCTCCCTACAGATGAGTCCATCCTCACACCACGTGCATAGGCGATCCAGACAAAAGTCGCTTCACTGCCAATAGTCAGCAGACGCCTCACCCTGCGCCCTCCCTCGGAGAGTTATGAGTCGCACGTGTATGTAGCCACCCACACCCCCTACCCCCACGTCCCCCCCCCCACCCCCCACCCCCACCCCCCCCCCCCCACCCCCCTCCCCACCCACAACACCACCCCCCCCCCCCAAAACACCCATCCCACCCTCAAACACAAACCTAACCCCCAAAATCATCCCTAATCTACCCCAATATATCTTATATTATACATAATACATACCATAACCCTTCCTTTCCTAAACTCCTCATGACCAACGCCCCACCCCCCTGATCCCCAATTCTGTCCCCCACTCCCCCCCTTTCTCGCTAACCGTAGTCGAACACGCACACTGATCGCTATGCACCATCACTATAGCGTCTCCTGAGCTTCAACCGGACCCCCATTCTATTGCACCCATAAAGATCCCCCCACCCCCCCCCCCCCCATCCCCCCTGTGAATCCGCACCCACCCCCCCCCCCTCACCCCATACCTTCTCTCCCCCACCCCCCCCCCCCTCTCCCCACCCCCCCCCCCCCCCCACCCCCCCCCCCCCCCCCCCCCCCCACCCCCCCCCCCCCCCCCCCTCCCCACTGTCTCCCCACTCCCCCCCTCCCCCACCACCTCCGCCCTCCTCGTGTGTATTGATGATACTGGATGTGCCGCGTGTGTGTTGCTTCCAGAGATTGTGTGTTGTGTGTGTGTGTGTGTGTTAACATCTCGCGCATGGTGTGGTGTGTATCATGCCCGTGTTTTACGTACCGTTGCTCTCCGGTAGTCTCAGCATCCCCTTTTCAGCTGTGTGGAATAGAATATCACCGTGACCCCTCCTCCTTATGCATTGCCGAAATTCAAAGACCACCGTCTTATTTGTGCTGCTGCCCTCCGGTACATCGCCGCAGGGCTAGTGTGTGGGAGCAGCAGAGGGACTGGACCCTACTTCACCTGGTTTAGCTCTGGGCATCTTTCTGTGAAAGCCGGCACCTGGCCACATGCCTCCACAGCGACTTTCGCTTAAGCAATGCCCCACAGTCTATACAGTGCAAAAACTCACTGGATTTAACTGGGCAATTTGGCTGTTTAGCTGGGACTAAAGTTCCAATGCCGGCCTTTAAAACCTCAAAATTGTGCTCACGGTTTCCACTATTCCTGATCAAATCAAACTGAAGTTTACGTGCTTTAGATTTCACAGGTAGAGCCAATGCTCTGGCTACGTCACTTTCATTTCCATGTTTTCTAGTCAAATGACGGGACATTTTGTGGCAGGACATTGAACAGTAGAGGCAGAAGTGTCTCTTGCTGTATACTCGCCCCCCATTTTTCTTCTTTTGCAGCTGCATGATAACAATCTTATTTGCCTTTGGTTCGTCACTTTCCGAGTCTTGAAGAAAAGTGTTTTTGATTTTTCTTTTTCCATACTTTTTTACAGGTTTCTTCTTGACAGTTAAATCGTCAGAATCTGAGTCGACTTCATCAATTAGGGACTCTTGACTAAGCTGCACAAACAACAAATAATTTGTAATCATTCTATATAACAATTTGAAGTCATGACTTGTAGTCAGCACTTACCAGTGGTTTGTAAGCGTGCGCTTCAGTGTGCTCCTCCATGATTTCTTGCAGCCTAATGAACCACACACTTGCACCTTTTTCTAGCCTGACACCTGATTTCCTCTGTTGTGCTGCTCCATGATTGGCTCCAGCCTGCTGGACTGAAATTGCCCCAGTGTGCCCCTCCTTGATATCCCGCAACCCACCACCAGGGTTCCGACACATAACACACTTTTTTCAGGAAAGTAAACCTCCAGGGGTCCTTTCCATATTTTTACAGAGACTGCATAAGGACCGTTAGAAAAGCATTACCCATTGATTATTAAGATCATGGTCCGAACGAAAATCCACTGGATTGGATCCACTTTTTGAAAAATGCTAATGAAGCATTCAGCATCTCACTTTGGACTAGAGCAGAGAAAATGGTCTGAACCAAGCAGTTACTCCACCTCAGCTGCTGTGACCTAAAGTACTGTTGCATTTTAATACTATTGTTAGCTATTTTTAGAATTATTTATTTATTTGTTTTGTTTGTATGGATGGATGTGTTTCTGCTGCTACTGGACACTTCAATTTCTCCTACAGGGGTTCAATAAAGTATCTATCCATCTATCTATCTAAAGGATTGTAACATTTTTGCTATTACTGTAAGTGAATGCAACTGTTTTGAATACAATGCTGTTCAAAGGATTACACAACAACAAGGTCCATCACAAAGTACTACGCTAATGAACCCGCCTCTACTTTGCATTCTTTATTCACATGCTGAAATATGGGGGTGAGGTCCAGGCAACAACAAAAGTAATTGATATTTTAACCATGTTACAACCTTGTAGGGTTTTTACAGCCATACACACTAATATAAGGAAGAGGATACAATACATCAATGCTCCTGCTCTTTGTCTTGTAATAACATAATGGCATTGTGCCACTATGACATCACACTCACAAAAACAAAAGTAATCTTCATTTATATAGCACCTTTCACAGACCGGAGTCACAAAGCGTTTCACAATTGTTGTAGGCATTTGTCTCTCACTCCACACAGAGATTTACAATGACATGGCTGTGTTTGCAGCTGTTCATTTTCCAAATTTGGAAAATAAAAAAACAATTGGTAGAGTAGTGGTGATAACTGAGCAATAGGGCAGATCAATAGAATTATTTACCCGTCATACTGTAAACTATTTTCTACTTCAAATCTGAAACATGAAATGACAAAGTAAATAGTCTCATTATCATTTTTAATTACCGGAAATAATGCAACTTATTTTTTCTTTAATTAAATGAGAGCAATTGCTGCATGTTGGACAACGCATAATTACCGGCAGAATCAGGCGCGTGCACATTCTAATGATGTAATAATCAAAAATACACAAAACTCAAATGCGTCTATGGAAATGAGAAGTCAACTGACATTCCACCAACCGATATTTGATGCGTCTTCCACACAAATGAGGCGAGGAAGGCGTAAACAAGGTGGCATAAAATTAACACCATGAAAAATAATCAAAGTTGGGCAATGAAGCGGAATATTGCGGTGTAGATGGGGAGAGTGTGAGCTGGAGTCTTGCGCTGTAGCCTTGCTCTGGCTCGCACTGGGGGTGGAGGCAGCATTTCAAGTGTTATGGAAGGGAGCGTGCGGTGTGACTCCGCGCCGTAAATTAGCCATGTGCTCTGGCCTGCAGCGGTTCACCTTCAGAGCCACAGAGAATTACACCGGAGCCATGTCAAAACAATTGGAATGCAAATCAAATACCTCTGGGGTGACTTTGGTCTCCCGGGATCGAGTAATCTACCCTCTCCGATTCTGCGCTTTGCTTTTGTGGAGTGAAATATTGATTTTGGCTGAGCATTTTGTAAATATTAACCTCCAGACACAACGAAAGCTTGGTTAAGTGTCCAGGCAAAAGGTGGCAGCTTCTTTATTGGAGTGGAGTCGTCTGTGAAGTATTATGACAGTGGACTCAAGAACAATGTAGATTAAAACGTCAACAATTAATGCTGGACTAACTTTGAAACTACAAAAAAATTATGTAATAAAATCCTGGTAAATAGTTCCTTGCTCTCTAAACATTTTTTTTCTTTCACATACAAATCTTTTTGGGCTCTGTCACATCTTCAGATCAACGTTTTCAGACATTCAATTCAAATAATACTTGTACAGCCCTAATTCACAAAAGCTCTGGTCTTGGAGTACTTTACAAAATTGTCCATTTTGCCAACAGTAGATTTGAGAATCAAATAACTAGAACACAAGAAATGCTATTATATGAAACATATTAATTGGTCCATAGGAGAGCCCTCACTCAGCCAATCAGCTCTCAGTATGTAAAAGACGACTCGTTTTCTATTAAGACGAAGACAGTATTGTGTTACTTAACCCAGACTTTTCTTTTTCATGTATTAATGCAACAAAATACAGTTAGGTACTCTAGCTTTAAAGGAACCATATTTATTAATATTTCTTATTTCATATATCTACATTGTTTGTTGTCCGAGATAATAGGAAAAATCAAAATACAATTTACAGTCTATGGTATAAACTTGAGTTTCAAGCTAATTATCCATTCAGAGAAAAGAAGGAATCCCTCATTTGTGTTGCCAGTTTTTTATGTGAAATTTATTCTGTTTAATAACAAATTTCCCAACCCAAAAAAAAGCTCCACAGTTGTTTAAATGAAAGCATACACAGAGTTTGTACTGTTTCTAGTTAAACCAGCAGGTGGATTGCATCAGTAACCCGTGCTTTGGAGTTACAGGTGGTTAGGGTTGGGATAAGATTCTGGCAAAGTTGGATTGAAATTGTAATGACTTTATTAGACCATTAAGAGTGCGTATCACTTACGTCCCCTTCAATTATTCATGTAACGTAGTGAAGCAGTGAAGCTTAGTGAAGGTCAGTCAGAAGAGTGTGTGTTACAAAAACTGGTGATAAATGATAGCACAATGAAAAGAGTAAGCGACTCTCACCCTGCTTATGGAGAAGACAAATCCAGGCTGTCCAGAACATACGCCCATGAAGCAGAAACGTAGCTGCCAGTAGAACCAGTGCTCGCAGATGAATGTGATCAGAGACAGGGCCATAGCAGCGCCCAACATGTAGAAGACTCCGGCCATGTTGTCTATGTCCAGCTGGCTTGACATAACCTCATTCTTCTCGTGGTGGCAGATTCCAGTCAGCCACAAGGATTCCAGCTCCTCCATCTCACCTAAAGAGCGTGCAACATTAGCATTAGCATTGACAAGATGGCGATATACAGAGATGACAAACACAACTCATAAATGGAGACTTAAAGACACAGGTTAATGACAGAGGTTCAATGAATAGTACGACAGATTTATAAGGTGTGATGTCACCCCAGTCATTGCTTGTGGAGAAGGGAAGGATCATTGTATTTGATTGATAGAAATATAGTAAAATAAAAGTCGGCGATGCTACAAAAAGATGGGATGAGGCCAATGTGAGAATGACTTTATATTTGATACATAAAATGACTGGTGACTATTTGAGAATAGTGCTTATGAGATGGATGGACTCTGGCTGGTAAGGTGTGCAGCTGCATTTGGATCAGCAGGGGTTTAATTAAATATAGCTACAAAAAACACGACAACTGACTGCCTATATCTTATGTAACTCAATCCACCAATGTTGCTGAATCCAATTGTGGTTGACAAATTTTCAAACGCACATATTGTTTTGCACTTTTCGCGAGGCAATCCTTTGAGAGAACACATATAGCTGAAAGAAAGCAACCGACCAATGGGAGCAAGAAGAAGCTGCTAAAAAGCAAAGCATGCGGGGAGTGAGAAGAACACTGTTAACTTAAGAAGATGATGTAATAAAAGATGGAAATGGAGGACACAGAGAGAATGACGCAAGACGAGGAGAGAGGAGATGACACTTAGACGGAAAGGAACGGGGTGATATTTGTAGAGGAGAAGCAGAACAGGGAGAGAAACACATGCCACTGGTCAAATGTTAATTACATCGATCCTATTTGCTGCCATTTCACTTGCAGACTGTGCCAAGGAGTGCAACATAAGTAATGTGTGAGGAGCGGTGCAGCAGGCTGGTCCCTGCCTCTCTGCTCTTTGTGGGTCACCTTCAGTTTCATCACGGGCCGCTCTCTATCAAAGCCGACTGGTGCGGGACAGACGCTGCTTAATTAATCATCCAGTCAAGCTGCTGTCGTTGCACATCCGCCTGGTGTGGCAACAATGCTTTTGTACAAACAGGGCAACAATCTACCAACTGGAATCTCGCCGACAACTGTTGTGTTCAACAGTTTATACTCTCGGCAGTTGTGCTAGAAAACTCCAAGGTGAGCTCATGCACCAAAGTACACTAACTAAAGAAAGCTGCTTAAGCAAACACAAGAGCTGAACTCAATAATTAGGGCTTTGTTAAGTAATTCTAGCCACACTTTGGCTGAGAGTGTGGACTTTCTAGGCCAACAGGACAATGAGGCGTGGCCAAGTGACATTGAAATGCTGAAAGGACAGACGGGGCAAGCTGAACGCCTGCATTGGTCCTTGCTGTTGCTGAGCCTCAGAAGAGATAATAAGACTTTTATAGTGACAGAAACAATGTTTAGTATTGTACTTTTACTGCATCCACTACATCAACTCATCAATAATGGAAATAACAGATTATACATTTCTTTGTTAATACTGTACATTGGTTATCCTGCCACTGCGGAACAAATGTATTGTATAAACCCCTCATTTGGTCATTTTTCTCTGCAATATGATACTTCAGTGAGTTCAAAGACCCGTTAATGTACAATTATTTATTTGTGACAGGCCAGATCAAATAAAAGTGTCACTTTATCAGTGGCATAAACTAGCATACATATTTCTAAATCTTTTTTTTTGAAAACTTTCTCTGTAGCAATCAATATTTGTGATCAGAAATGTGTTATGGTAAGCTGATTAATAAAGTGGTGCAACATTGCTGTCTGTTTCACACAGTATGTGCCAGAGGCTGACCCATATTCACACAGAGTCAAAATGCACCAGGAGCTATGCTGGCACCCCTATCTGGGACGCACTAGTGGGCCCCTGAGGGCCCTTGGTTCTGTTCACAACACACTGTATCAAACCCAACTAGCTACAACAGACTCACCAAACTTCCGTGGCATTGTCATGTCTTAGTTTTCTTGTATATTAAATTGGGACATTATGAAGTGAGGTTTTGAAAAGAGACTAGACGTCAATGTGAATAGTGTAAGTAAAATAGTTTTTGGTTAGATGGCTCGAGCTCATTACATCTTGCTGGCTGCTCAGTCTCAGATTCATTAATGTTGCTACTCAAGCTGACAAGAAAACGAGTGCATTTCAGAAGTACAAGCCCTGGAGAGCTCGGACATTCTCCCATTAAACTCTATCAAAAATAATGGCCTCCAGCACAGCTGAAAATCACATTACAACTCTAAAAGAGTATATTAAGTCACAAAATTACTAACAAAAGTGAAAAATATTTCCCTATTTAAAATAATGCAGACAGGAAATATTTGTTTAGACAACCAACCTACTTGTCCTACAATAGAAGTGAAAAAAACCCTAAGAATTACTTTTTAACGCCCCAATAAAAGCATTGTGTACAATGGATATACACGCATTCATTCAAAACAATAAAAGGTTGAGCCTGCTTCTTACCATCTCCAAAAAGCCCCAAAATGGCCAAGTCTATGGCTCTTTTCCAGAGCGACTCCTTCTGTATAGCAATGCCATATCCAGTAGTGGCAAAAATGTAACCACTGCCGATGGTCACCAGTTTGCAGCCCTCGTCCCTTCCAGCCATGTAGTTCAGGACAGCAGCGTCATAAATGAAGGCGTCTAGTTTGCTGATGAAAAAAGACCGGGAAAATATAAGTTACAATTAATTAGCATTTAGAAGCCAGGCGATGCAGCTTTACCATTCCAATTAACCTGCTAAATAGTGCTAAGCTGCTGATAAGTGTAATAGACTTCCGCTTGATTTGCCAAAGGCTGGAGCTGGCACACAAATGAGCAAAGAGGAACAGTTGATGAAACTGTGCTGGAGAGAAAGATAATGGCCATAGTGCCAAAGCATATTCAAAATTGTGTTCATACAATGTGTAGATTGTGCGTGAAGCAATATTTATTTTCAAGGTTACTATTTTATTATTTATTACTTATATGTGCTTAGTATAAAATATTGACATTTAAATTCTTCAGTTGACACCTAAAATCTCTCTGATAAAGATAATGGTATGACTGGTCAAAGTGCGTCACTGAAGTCATCATTCATTCATTCCACTCTCTGTGGTGACAGAGAGTGGTCCGTCTGTCCGACTACACAACGTTCACTCATTCAGCAGGTTCATACTAGGAGCATGTTGTGGTTGTCGGAGAAACTCAGAGAACGCTCATCCAGACTCGGGGGAGGAATGAGCACTAACTACACTGTGCCCTTGTGTTGCTTGTGTGTTTAAAAACTCTGGAAGACTGACTTAAGACCTAAAGGATCTCACCCAGCCTTCAGACTCCCCAGGGCCTCGTTCACATTTCTCTGATGAAACTTTGTCATGTATATATATATATATATATATATAATATATATATATTATTAGTTTTTTCCCTAGTGTCTAGACCCACTGCAGCATTTATCTCTCTTGAACTTTAGAAGTGAATGAATGAATGAATATCAATATCTCCGCCTCAGCGATCTCTGTGAGAGAAAGTTTGTGTACATGATTTCACAGAGAATCTTTGGATTTGAGCATTGATGCGGTGGGACCTCTCCTGGCACCTCCTGCCCAGAGCCACTGCCCGTGAGCCTGTTCCCACAGACGTGCGTTGCATCCTATCTATAAACTTCTACATGCGGAGAACAGGGCAGTGGCTGAGAAGGTTTTGAGACCATGGCTGTGTTTATGAGGCTTTATGCACAAAACTAAGGAAAAAACACATTGCTTTGCCAGGGGTGAAAGAGGAAAAACAAATGTGTAATCACGCAGCGCAGCCTGCCACAGATTTACGGAGTTAGTCACTCAAGTATATTTGTATAGCACCTTTAACAGACTAGGATCACAAAGCACTTCACATTTAAAAGACATACAGATGAAAATACTGTACACACAAGTCAGATTTAAAACCAAAGAAACAGAAGAGGGTCCTAATGCTTGCGTGTTTCCATTAGACTTTTTTCTGATGCGCAAATTCAAATTTCGAAATGTGATTCTTAATGAAAATGCATTTTATAATTTTACCAGAGTGGGAATATGTTTATTGTTGTCCAAATCTGGAATTTCATGCGTGTTTAGGCGTGTTGTGATGAAGGTTGAAATGAGCGTATACTGTATTTACCTCCAGACTTGGCGTATATTTTGTGCGTACCGTACGCTCACATACAGATTGATAAATGCAGAAAAGTGTAAATTTTTTGCGTACGCCTCATTTACACTCTGATTTGGCTGTACGCAAGTTTCATAAATGAGCGCCACTGTACGTCACATTGGCCCTCATTTATGAAAGTTGCGCAGAAAAGGGTGTATATTCCAAATACGCACGAGTCAACGCAGCATTAATGAACGTGTGAGATCTGCACATATCTGAGCGTACGCACCTGCGGCTGTTGATAAATGACACGCCCAAAACTAGCGTATTTATGAAAGTCACGCCTAGAAATATTCATAAACTGCCTGACTCACGCCCTGTTTTTGCGACAGTTCAGCACCGAAGTCGGCCAAAAACACTGTTTGGAAGCCCCAAAAGGCCCGTTTGTTTGTTCATGTAAAAATAAATATACGCTATATTCAGCTGCTTTTCCTTTGAACAAATTTGCAAAACTTTTTTGATACATAACAAAAATCTCACTTGAATTGTAGAAGTAAATAAATAAATAATTAATGAATTCATTAATTAATTCATAAATATTATTAGCCTCAGCGGTGGCTCTCATCATTAACTGAAAGATGAATGCATCTTGTGAATAGGGGTGTGACGATGTCGATTTTTTGATATATCGCAATACTTTCTCCCGCGATTCGATTATCGATATGCATTCGCAGAGTATCGATATCAATATATCTTTCTTTTTTTTGAATTGTATCAATACTTAATATATGGCTACATTATTTCATGATAAATGGAATGGAGATGCGTAAAGTGTATTTTTTCTTTTATTTATGCTATAAATTGGCATATTGTAAAATGTAAATGTATAATGTATTGTAAAATCGTTATCGTGATAATATTGTTATCGTAATAATATCGTTATCGTGAGCTTTGTATCGTGTATCGTATAGTATCGTGAGGTACCCTTAGGTTCCCACCCCTACTTGAGAATGCAATGGAGCGATCTATGTGAGAGAAAGGATGAGAAGCTTTTTTGAAGTTTTGGTCCAGGATTTCACTGAGATACTCTGGATCCAAAATTCTGAATGACGAGCATTTGAGGAGTTATGCGGCGCGACCCCTCATGGCACCCGTGCACTGCCCAGAGATACGCGCGTTGCCATCCTGTCTATAAACTGCTGCATGTGGACAGGGCAGTGAGACATTTGGACTGAGCAATACCATAGTCCATCGGTGCATTTATGGGGTGTGTGTGTCTGTGTGAGGCTTACACAAATCTAATGAAAAAATACATTGCTTTACCAGATGTGAATGAGGAAAAACATATTATATTGTATATATATTATAAGCTATTATAATAAGTGTGAATATGGTAATTGTTGTCCAAATCTTGCATTTCATGTGTGTTTTGGTGTGCTGTAATGAAAGTTGAATTATGTCTTCCTGCTGCGCCCGCTGTGACATACATTTTCACACACGTCTCTACAGCAGTTGCATACTTTCGCATTATCCCTGCTTGTGTTACCATTTTCATGTGAGGGTATGGGGTATAACTCGCTTCTGTTTCGACCCTCGCTGTCACAGTGTGGTGCTGTACCAATAACACTTCACCCTGTTAGCCAAGAGTCGAACTTTATTTTGTGGCTAAAGGACACCGACAAACACTTGTATGCTGCCTGGCTCCGGTCGCTCTGCTTGCACGCCACCAAGCCCCGGTGATCCAAGATGGCGCCCTATTCAGGGTGCACAGGGGCCGAGAGTTTAGCTGAACTCGCCCATATTTGGGCATGGTCTGGTCCTCCCGGTTCTGCGCAGTGGACGAGCTCCCATGATGCGTTGCGCCAAATACACGTTTGTGGCACTCATGCACGTGCACAGAGGGGCTCGGCTGCACTCTGACCAATCAGAGCTGCTGATTTGAGCAGAACGGGAGTCAGAACAGGAAGGAAACGAGCAGAGATTGTGGCAGTAAAGTGTGGATTTAAAGAAAACCAAAGGATTTAGGACGAAAAAAAGTTCAGGATGACAAGGGACACTAAAATCCCCACAAAATCCGACCTTTGTGAAAGCTGTAGGTTCTCTGTCAGCTGAGGTCGAGCTGTTTTGGTTTACATTGAGTTCAATGGGACTTTTTTCTGGGTAGCCCACGTGAATTTCATCTCCAGTACCCAGCCCTAGGTCATCAGGCGCCCCAGGCAAAAATATATTATGGCGCCCCTTGCGCACTTGTAGAGGGCATCACAGTGAACAAGTGTGCTGTGAATGTAGTCACAAACCTTTAAAATGTGCATTTTAACGGCTCATTCCCGCGGCTTCTCTTTCCATTTTTACGTAAGAAACAGCCTAAAGGAGCCACCTGCTGTTGATCAGTGTTGGGCAAGTCACTTCAAAAACTTAATACATTATGTTTCACTTATTACTGTTATTTCAAAATAATGTCTTACACTATAATATTACTGTATCTGAATTGTTATGAATTACACTACTACTGCATTACTTTTAAGTTACTTTCTCCAAATATATATAGTAAAAAAAAGGATTAGGATTTACTTATCTCAAGAAAAAAAAATGTATATATTAATTTCAGTCTAATAATCAAAGGGGTTGTTAAACATGGTGTAAACTGGTTAATCCTAAACAGGTTCAGCCCTGGCTCAGTCCTGGCTCAGTCCTAGTTCAGTCCTAGTTCAGTCCTAGTTCAGTCCTAGTTCAGTCCTAGTTCAGTTTGTCTCAGTCTGCCTCAGTCCTGGCCAGTGGGGGCGGATCCCAGCTCAAAAGTGGCCAAAATGACGTGCTTGCAATACCACCCCGGGCCGATGGTGGACCCCGAAGAAGAATTAGCCAATGCTAACATATAGCATTAGCAGACCTCTCGAAAATGTCTTTACAGGATGGACCAAAAGTTGGCTCTTGGCCCAAAGCTCCGTTCCACATGTGTGTCAATGCTGAGGGGCGTGAATTTTTTTGGTCCACTCTAGTTTACTTGCTGTGAATTTTTGAAGTCTCTCGTTCAAATGAATGGAGCTGCGCCGGCTGACGCATGCGCAGATCCGTTTTTTCACAATTTTCTTGTGGGCGGGACCACTCGCGGCCATTTTGAATAGCTCCAGTAGAGCACATTTTTTGGCCCATTAGTTAGAACGGTGGAGATAGGCGTGACTCTGTCCGTTAATATATACAGTCTATGGTCCTGGCTCAGTCCTGGCTCAGTCCTGGCTCAGTCCTGGCTCAGTCCTGGCTCAGTCCTGGCTCAGTCCTGGCTCAGTCCTGGCTCAGTCCTGGCTCAGTCCTGGCTCAGTCCTGGCTCAGTCCTGGCTCAGTCCTGGCTCCTGGTTCACAGCAGCTCACTGCTTTATTTACTAAACATCATGGAAGTGCATCATTCTTGCCTCTGTTTAAAACGCGCCGCTCATCGCGCACATATTTTCCGCCCGTTGCGTAGCGTCTGCCTCTGTCTCAAACAGGACTCTGTAGAGAGTCATAACTCTGAAAACGGACTCGTTTTGGACGATTTAAAGATCAGACCAGAGCTTAGATTCTCATCTGTCATATCCTGTATGTCTCTGTTCATACCTCTACTTTGAACCCGTTTTTCATTCTCTTCTTTTCTTTGGCGTTTGGCTGCACCTGACGTCTTGGACTGCCTTTTCATAATAAAGTCCAAAAACACGTCCACCTTTCTTTCACACTTTCTGAGATGCGCGAGGCTGCCCCTCCCCCATCTACTCACCTTGGTGTGACAAAAGTGCAGCCAACAGCAGCAATTTTGATTACGTTTATAGTATACATAAACTGTTATTTTTTCAATCTTACTTGATGAGAAACACTTCGCAGAATAATTAAAAAGGACACTTTTTTTTATGTTTTATTTTTTTTAAGACTGCAATTTTACGCCCCACCCTGCAGTCCCCGGGGCCGGCCCTGGGGATAGCTATAAGCTAGTAATAACCTATCCAGTTATTGTTATAGATCCATGCACGTTAATCTGTAATTCTCATTCATTCATATATTTCTCAGGCTCCCGCCGGCTCCTGAGTCTGCCGCGTGCCCGCACACACACACAGAACAGGAAGAGAAAGTGAAACCTAGAGGTAGATGCTAAAGTATTAGCGCCACCAGCTGGTGTTTGCAAAAGTTTGAAATGACTACATTCAATTCAATTCTACTACTAAAATAAAAAATAAAAAGATCAAAAGTCATTGTAGGAACATTATTATCAACTTAACGTACCGAAGATGGGGGATGAAAGGAACTGGTTCTTGTTTTCTTAACAAACACCATGGATCCAACGATAACCACAACCACCAACACCAACACGACAGGTAAAATGAAAGCCAGGACATCTGTTTTCAGGAACATCCAAATAATCATGTTACTGCTCTAAACATGAATGTATAGGTTTAATACAGTACAACAAGGAAATAATAGTTTTGAAACTCAACTGATTCCGGCTGTTGTCAGGGGCTTCAAACAGTACTGCTGTGTGGCTTGCACTGACATTTTCTTCATCTCTCCAGAGATGTTTAAACAATAGTTTTTCTCACTGTCATGGACTGGAAGCTTGCCCTGACACACGCTTTCCGTGCAGTGGTATTTGTGTGTCTCCGGCTGCAAAAAAACAGAAAGTAAATATACACTTACATATATCAAAAGGCACGATCAATAAACACATAGACCATGACTCAGCAATTTTGGATGTCTTAGTAAAGTTTATTTGTTCTTTACTAAGACAGGCACCAAAAGAATGGAACACATACAGTAACTTCAGTGTTAAATCACTCTACTGGCTTCCTGTGGAGTATAGAATCAAATGTAAAATCCTTCTTCTAACATAAAAAGCCATAAATGGCATGGCTCACTCAGGACTCAAGACTTCAAATAAATACATACGGAGCACCATTGTGTTTTGTATCATTGCATTTGCTGTGTTTTAACCGTTTGATTCTCTGATCTGTGTTGGTGAATTCAGCGGTTCTGTTAAGTCCTCCGAGATAACGAGTGTTGTGATTTAGGGCTATACAAGCCCTAAATTATAAGCTGTAACTATCCCACGTTGTAATATTGAAAAATGTAGCTGAAAAACCTACATCATGTTCTTATTACTGTAAGAAATGTGTCCTGACTGTTCTTAATCTTCAAGTGTGACGCAGAAAGGTACGGAGCAACATCTACTGGTCTCTTTTCACTTTTATGTCTAAGAGAACCAAAAACTATCTATTATATGAGATATTTACACAAAGATATTATAAGTGAGGACTTTTAAACTTTATCGGTCACACACACATGACGTTACTTAAGCACCTCTTTTCTTCTCAAATTTTCCATGTAGACGAGGGTGAGTACAAACAAGTGATTGTCATATCATGCCATTTAATTGGACCTCTGTGAACTACGCATCAATTCTGTTGACAGATGTTTTTTATAATTTTATACATTTGCTTGGACAAAAGAGGACCATGACAGAGAAACCTCTAATCATATGCATTATCTTAATATAATGTATCTATTCTTCATTTACTCCAGAGCCCAATCAATAACTCACACCAAATGAATACTTAAGAATGTTATAAGGGACACCTCACTATGTGCTACTTGTTCTGAAGTAGTAGTAAGTAATATTTATTTATATACCGCCTTTTCACTGCACATCTGAGTCTCAAAGCGGTTTACAATTGTTATTTTTGGGAGTGGGGGTGGCAGTACATGAGGCACATGTCAGACCTATTGCACATATTTTTAGTGGTAGGGGAAACCGGAGCACCCGGAGGAAACCTACGCAGACACAGGGAGAACATGCAAACTCCACTCAGAAAGGCCCTGGTCCAACCGGGATTTGAACCAGGACCTTCTTGCTGAGAGGCGAGAGTGTTAGCCACCGTGCCGCCCTGAAAAATTCACTTATTTCAAATAAGTGAAGATGTATAAATCAGCTTTCCTTGACAGTAAAAAGGGACAGACCTGGTTTACGATGTCGATGTGGTAGACAAACTCCGGCAGAGCAGCACTGGACTCCAGGCTTCTCTTCTTGCTGTTGTTGTGACTGGTGCGGTACAGAAGTCCAGGGTGTGTGAAGCTGAAGAGGAGAAGCTTGTCCTCGGAGGTTAAGTTGACTAAAGGGAGATCCACAGAACCTGCCAAAGCAAAACATCAGTCATCAGGAAAAATAGGTAAACAGTAGGTGTCCTAGTCTGTCACTACTGCATTGCACCAATGCTCTTCTCATTTACTACAAATAAGCACGTGCATTTAAAGTACAGTAAAAACTGAAAAAAAAGTTCTGTTGATTGGCCATCTCTTGAAACATTCTACTAACAAGAAAGTATATATACTTACATATTTTTGAACCTTTTGATAATAATACAGTTAAGTAAAATAAAGTAAATAACAAATGAAACCTAAAATAATCTTGAATAATATGTCGTACATGTAACTGGTACAATGGAGTCTTTGAAATAGCTGTACTCGATCGCTTCCTTTGGCACTGGCTCAGACTTCTCACTGTCCATCACAGCAGAAATCTGCACCATGTATTCATTTTCCGGGTCTGAAAACTCAGAGAGGTCAATGGACGTCGCTGGCGAGTTCACCCAAAGAGAGACAGGAGGCCTACAAGGGAAATAAGGAAATCCTAAATTATTACAATAAGTTCACTTGATATGTCTATTTAGTAAATAAAAAAGACAGACTTTATTGTAGATGAAACCTTCACGTTAAAGCGGAGTCCAGGAACCAGCTGCTCATAGCTCCACAGAAGAGTGTTCTGCATGTTATGGCAAAGCAGCGTCACGTTGGTTGGAGGCGGCACTGTGGAAACAGACACACGTGTAATGTCACTGGAACACACTAGAGGGAGCCAAACAGATACAAGAATTACTTAAAGGACAACTCACCCTCAAATCCAAATTTTTGCTGATAAACGGTATAAATGAGTGTCCAATAGTGTTGTCTACATATCCTGGTCATAATCTTGTCACTTAGGTGCAAATTAGTTGAAAATTAAACTTTCTGCCTAAAACCGTCTGTGAGGCGCCATCTGCTGGCGACCTGTATTACTACATTTGAATTTTGAATCTGGCACCAACACTGGCGCGGCAGCAAGACTTGACGTCTGAAGTAAGACCTGACGTCAGCAGCCCCCCGCCCAGAGCAATGTAAACGGCCCAGTCTCGTTCACGCCCCCTTTAGTCCTCCAGGCTACGCCCATTTAGAGGAAGATTTGAACAGGAAATGTGAGTGACGTAAACTCCGAGGAGCGGGGGTGAGAACCACTTTAAAGGGCCCATATCACGGTTTTTGACTTTACTCTGCTTTAAACATGATTACAATGCTATTTGGCCTTCATACACAAGCCCACAGTAGTTTATTCATTGATTCTGTCAATCTTTTGTGAGAGAGCAATCTGTCTCCTTCCCCAGCGTGAGGCACAGAAACGCTCGGGCCCACTTCAGTGACGAAAACCACACTGATGACGCGCATGACCCCGTTTGCTTTGTATTTAAAATAGTACAGGTGTAAAACGACAAAAGCGTGATGCTACGTCACCGTGCGGGCGGGGGGAGGCGGGCTCACAGGCAGAGGAGCAGACTCTTCTCTGGATCAGCTCGTTTGAGTCGAGGTGACGTCACCTCTATACAAGAGATGGCTCTAATCTCACAAGCTTTGATTGTTGTGTGGTGTATCATACACATTAATATCACACATGTGCATAGGATTGAGTGTGAAACATGAAGAAAAGCGTGATATAGGACCTTTAAAGAGCGAATAAACACCAAATCAACTTTTTTCAACACATAAACTGCATAAATATGTTTATTGTAGTGCTCTCTACATATCCTGGTCATTTTTTTGACATCTTGGTTCAAATTTGATAAAATATCACTTTTGAGCCAAAAAACGCTGTGTGGTGCCCTCTCAACCTTTTTGGTGGTACTACATTTGAATTTGGTTCTGGCCTCTCCATTGACTCTGAAGTTCTCTATGACATCAGTTGTTTTGTGTGACGTCAGTCTGTCAGAGCCAGTGATATGAACCCATCCAACTCTCACACACGCCCCAGCTGCAGTTTGGAGTATTCTGGCGCCATCTAGTGGATTCAAATTAAATTACATGAGTCATTCTGAGATTATTGAGTGTGATTAGGTTCAGGTGTGTAGCTTTACATTTATCTTAGTGTGTAAACAAGGGTGGAATGAGACTTTCTGGTCTGTAAACTATTGCTTTAAGCAGCAATGACAACTGTCAGCTCACTTTTTTTGTGAGCTGTCAATCACAGCCCAGACCACGCCCAACTCTAAGCCCCCCTTCTTGTCCCTTAGTCCTCCAGGCAACGTCCTTTTTAGAGAACATTTTAAAATCTTCATGTGGGCGGAGTAAGGCTGGGCACAGGTGTTTAGTCGCTCTTTAAAAATAGTGGGTTCAACACGTTTCAGCCTTCCTCCTTTGGCACAAACTGACCAAAAACAAATCAACCAAATAATCATAAGTCCAAGTAAACGAGGGCTAGTAAAAAAAATCTTATTTTAATAAATGATTATTCCAATTATTAGTTGTAGAAAATTAGATTTGAACTACTTTTGACTGCTTTCTTTTTTGTGTAAGTAATATGTAATGAGGCCGTTATTTGAGTTGAATGAAAATATAATTTTACAATCATTAGGGATGAAGTATTACAGTTATTCGAACATTTTCTCTTTTATCTATTTTTTTGGATATTCAGCTTGAGTATCCAATAAGAAAGTCAGATTGTAGATGCTATCAGAAATCATGTTCCTATAACACTGTCCATTTTACATCATTGCAACTGCAGAGTGGCAAGTTAATTATGGTCATTATAAGTGATTCTTCAATCCATTTTGAATATATTTCGGAGATCGTCCTAATAATGCCACAAGTCAAACACACACACCATGTGTTACTTTCATTTTCTATCATCTTGTATGGATTGGCATAATGATAGAACAGACTAAGGCGGAATGTGAGGCAACCAAAACTCTGCTCTGTGGGAGTAAAGGTGTCAACCACATCTGACGCTGTCTGTGGTGTCACATGAGAAACCACAACCAGATTTCAAAACAATATGAAGCTGACAGCTTTGTCTGGAGAGATACAAATACGGTGTCGTAGGGCTGTCATAAACCATTATTTCTATAACTGATTAGTTAATTATATGTTGAAAGTTTAGTGAATATGAGATTTTTATACATCGACCAAAACAAAGATGCCACTGAAGAACATCTTCATAGAGATGACTTGTTACATATGGAGTTGTTTAATTAGAAATACTTTACAAACACATTTTTAATTCATTCTGCAGTCATTATAGAATTATTTAGAGCCGGCATGTCCAACCCAGTGAGGGCGGGTCCCAGCTCAAAAGTGGCCAAAATGACGTGCGCTGACATGCTTGCAATACCACCCCGGGCCGATGGGGGTGGACCCAGAAGAAGAATTAGCCAATGCTAACATATAGCATTGGCAGACCTCTCAAAAACGTCTTTACAGGATGGACCAAAAGTTGGCTCTGGGCCCAAAGCTCCGTTCCACATGTGTGTCAATGCTGAGGGGGGTGAATTTTTTTGGACCACTCTAGTTTACTTGCTGTGAATTTTTGAAGTCTCTCGTTCAAATGAATGGAGCTGCGCCGGCTGATGCATGCGCAGATGCGTTTTTTCACAATTTTCTTGAGGGCGGGACCACTCGCGGCCATTTTGAATAGGTCCAGTAGAGCACTATTTTTGGCCGATTAGTTAGAACGGCGGAGATAGGCGTGACTCTGTCCGTTAATATATACAGTCTATGGTCCAACCTAAGGCCTGTGGAACAAATACGGCCCTGTGTCATTTTACGTCGTCCCCTGCTTTGCCAACCCACATTAGTCTTTGAGATCAAAACCAAAGTTCACAGTGTCATCCAACCAACTTCAGCTCCGCCATTAAAGGTACGGTGTACCGTGTTGGTAAGCTCTGCAATTCAGCCCTTGACTTTATTTGTAAATTCTGATTTTTTTGTTTGTTTATTATGTCTATTATTGTATTTGGTGCTAATGTGAGATGGTAAACATTTGTAAGTCAGCCAACTACAGAGCTGTCAAACATTAAATTAATATGGACATGTCATAGCTCATCTAAAGCTCAGAACAGCCTGAATCCGGCCCACAGTTTCACTATCCAGGTCGCCGACCCCTTGACAAGTCTGGTGAACTAAAGTGGCCCTCTTACTAAAATATTTGGACACCCCTGATCTACAGATATATCTGATGAATAGAACGATATTAATAACTGATTCCTTGAGAAACTTGTTTCCATTTCCAACGAACTAAAAGGTGTAATCATCTCTCATCTCTCTAATGCCATCTTTGCAAACAGTGCCTGGTCATTCAGATAATATTACACGTCGCTCTTTGAGCATCATTTTTGTTATTTCATGTACAGATCACTGGTTTGTTGTTAGACCAAACAGACTCAGAGGTCAGAGTCCATTTACCACCACACAAAATACATCTTAAATCAAGGACTATGATGTTGTTTTGACTAGCACAACACAGAAACAACTAAAGTGCAGAAAGCTGCTGCTCATGGAGAGTTATACATAGTGGCATACGAAACGATCATGGGCACAATTCTTCTGTTGTCACATGTTCAGTTTTATGCAATTGACAAGTCAAGACCTGTGTATGCTCAATGAATAGACACGAGATATTTGACAGGCAGAAACAATCAAACTTGCCACTTGCCATGTAAATGTTTCTCTCTGGCTATTATTTGACATTGAGGTTTTCAAGTAACCCGTGGAGAAACTATTCAAGACGTTTCGGGCATTCATTGTTCACCCTGTAACTCCGAGCCAAGTCTGGATAATGCATAACGAAAAAAGAGGAACTAAAGAGTCCAAACAGCGCAGGGGAAACGTCTTAAGATGGTCTGAAACTTAACACATATTGGTCATAGAATTGCATTTCTGTGGGCAGGCAAAGTCTCTCTGAGAGGTTGCGACTGCTATTACACATAATATTTATTAATTCATTTTTTATTTATACTTTACTAAGGACTCATATTCAGGCAAAATTTCCATAGCTAATAAGATAAATACAAAAATATTAAATCATTTACATACTGAATATTACATGTTAGTAACCATGTTTTTCCACCACGCTCGGTCTAAGGGTGTTAGTTTTTATTTTTTGTCAATAGCTCCTTAGCTAACATTCGTATCTTTCCCTCATAGGTTGAAGGGACTAAATTAAGGGTGTCTGGTGGGAATCAATACAAACCATATTACATATTCTTGCTAAATCTACATGGATAAAACTCACCAGTTGCTCCTATCATCTGTATCCAGCAACAGAGCATGAAGACCAAAGGAGACGCGCACTTGTCCATGTTTGCTATTAGCTCTTGAGGCTAGTGACTTTACAACACGAAAAACAACCAGTCCACCTGATGACTCATGGCAGACTACGGGTCTACGGTCAGATATGGTCCTATACGAAGCTTGGATCTATCAAAACAAGCCAAAGACGCATGAAGAATAAGTAAATATGCGCAGTATTGAATGCAGATGAGGACATGGGAGAGACTCTCCACCAAAGGCAATCCACACAGATCCACGCAGCGCAGCACTGGGAGCGGATGTGGACGCCGCCTCTCTACGTCCTCTTTTAAATAAAATAAAATAAAACAATAAATAATTAAATATCTCACTCTCTAAAAAACAAAAAACAATGGTGACAATTCCGGGGTGAACTGGATATGGTTCAGAAAAAAAAAAAACAAACAGGTGATGAGCTGTGAAAGGGGAAACCACACCTGGGATTCCTGGGATTTTCCGCAACTGTTCTTTCGACTGAAGGAAGAAAGTGAAAGTAAAGCAATATGCCTTTTGAACGTTCTGTGGATTGACTTATATGGTTGGGGTAACTCAACTTCGATTAACAATCACTGGAACTATGTAGCTTAACAATATAATTTCAGCTCAAAAACAGTTGATTTTATTTATTTTATTTACTAGTTTTGACATGCATGAATGTTTGGCCTCGTCAGAGAGAAGGTCAATCAGCTCTCAGTCCAACATGCAGAAGAGAAGGGGCATTATGGTTTTTTCACGTTTGTGGGTCTGTTGACCAAAGTTTAAATTAAACTTATAAGCACTTTAAAACAGACCAGCACTTAGACCAAGCCATGCACACCTTGCAGCTTCCTGATTGGTTGAAATTAGTAAGTAAGTAAGTTAGTAAGTAAGTTTTTATTTATATACCGCCTTTTCACTGCAGATCTGAGTCTCAAAGCGGTTTACAATTGTTAATTTTGGGCATTTGTCTCTCACTCCACACAGAGATGGGAGCGGGGTCGCCAGTACAGGAGGCGCATGCCAGAACTATTGGACATATTTTTAGTGGTAGGGGAAACCGGAGTACCCGGAGGAAACCTACGCAGACACGGGGAGAACATGCAAACTCCACTCAGAAAGGCCCTGGTCCGACCGGGATTCGAACCCAGGACCTTCTTGCTGAGAGGCGAGAGTGCTATCCACTCAGCCACCGTGCCGCCCGAAAGTTAATGAAAGTCCTTCAGACCCCTTGTCATTGGTTTAACTATTCTCCTCCTCACTAGTCAAAGTTATGCCAAGGGGAGGGGCTATTTTGAATATATTATTCTTGTAAAATAGTTACTGTACTATGAATTACAATCGAGGATTCTGACATCACCTTTAAACGAGCTAGCACAAGAAATAGGTCTGAATTTTTATAATGGAGTCTCACACAGGCGTAGTTTCATTATTTATTATTTATTTTTGGTCAATATGACACAACTGTGAGATGGAACACTCTTAAAGTTATAAATATCTCCCCTAGACTTTTTAAACGTACAGGATATTGAAAACTGCATCACAATCACAGTCAAAACAGTTAGCTTTCACATGCATGCATATTTTAGCAGAAAAACTGAAAATGAGATAAAGCGAGTATGGTGTGTTACTTTTACGAGACTCCTTATGTTGGGAAAAACACAGTATATTATTTATAATTATGGATAAAAAGTTAGGTACCCCCACAAAAAGTACTATCTTGTTTTCTTTATTCTACCACCTGTTATATATTTATACTTTCTTTCATTGAGGCCTTAAACAATCGTAGCTCTATTTTCATTAAAATTCTTAAGCCTTGACTTCAGCGTGAGGGCGACATGTTCTCTTCATTTACAGCTTCCTTTGTGGATACTTTCCCAGAGTCTTACGTCACCTCCAAGTGAGCTGCTTTTTCTTCCCCATCTGAACAGAATGTGAGTCATTTACCATCTGGGCTCCAACTGCAGCAGACAGAGGTAAGGTTTAAACAACAATTCTACTTTTAAAACAGCACTTTGTCAGCATTCGCTCTCACGTATAGAGCAATGTACTTTATGTTTTCCCATTACAGAGCCTGTTTTCAATGAGTACTCTATAGCGGCTTGCTGAACTGATTTGCATTCCTGTCGAGGTTATGTAACGTTCAAAATGAAGTATAGGCTAAAAGTTATTGCTAAAAAGAACTGTCTTAGTTGTAACCACTGTTTTTTTGTAAATATCTTTTAGCATCTGGAGAGTAAAACTTTTAGTAAAGAAACAAGCCCCCACTTTAAGATTTACGGTGTGCAATTATCAAAATGTTTATAGCAAAATTCACCAAGACAATGGCTACATTAGACATAATTATTCATAAAACATCCCAAAACAACCCAAATTACAGTCAATTACTGTCAAAAAATCCAACTGACTTGTTCCCAGCTCTCAAAATCTTTTGAGCAAGATAACATTTCTTCTAATAGGATGTAGACAGCTTGTTGTGGTCTGATTTTATCATAAAATGTTACTTAAATACAACTTTATTTGGGTCCAAACAAAGTGTATATGTGAAACAAAATAAAGTTAGGAAGGGTGTTGTGAAGGGAGATGTGGACACAAGAGTTCAGGCATGGGAGAAAAACACAAGGGAAGGAAGACAGGAAGAAACATAATATTATTTCTAAACAAGAAACCCACCATTTTAAAACATCGTCTTCCAAGTACATGCTTTCATTGGAACCTCTGGCCAGTTATAATTGTATGTGGCTTTTGTACAAGCGTGTGTGTGTGCGTGTGTGTGTGTGTGTGTGTGTGTGTGTGTGTGTGTGTGTCTGGCTGGCTGGTGTGTATGGTGTGTGTATGTGTCTCTCTCTCTGTGTGTGTGTGTCTTTGTGTGTGTATGGTGTTTGTGTTGTGTGTGTGTGCGTGTGTGTGTGTGTGTGTGTGTGTGTGTGTGTGTGTGTGTGTATGTGTCTGGCTGGCTGGTGTGTATGGTGTGTGTATGTGTCTCTCTGTGTGTGTGTGTGTGTGTCTTTGTGTGTGTATGGTGTGTATGGTGTTTGTGTTGTGTGTGTGTATAGCGTGTATGGTGTGTGTGCGGCTGTGTGTGTGTGTGTGTGTGTATAGTGTGTATGATGTGTGTGTGTTTCCAGCTGCAGTCTGGAGGAACACACCCTGGTCAAGACTGAACAAAGACAGCTGTCAGTATTTCCATGTCCTTCTCTTCAAATGTTGGCAATGAAGTAACTAATGGATAAGAAAAGCACAGGGGGCCGACCTCACAGCTTTTCACTCCGAGTGCGTGCAACATTTGACACCTCATCAACGTGAGATAAATAAGTTGGGGTTTGTTTTGTGACTGGTTAACATGGTGGGTGAAGAACATTACAGTTAAATATCTGTAATGTGTTCAATTCAAAAGCAGGAAAACAAATCACAGTGGATTGGAAGAAAGCTCTATTCATAGTAAATACTAATAATAACTATTTTCTACAAGGATTATTTTACATCTGAAGTAAATGACAAAGTATGAGGCCTTTCTGTTTGAGGATTTATGTCCACATGCTCCAAACCCTCCTCCTTCATGTCACTCGCACCTGTTCGTATAATAGTTTGTCACTGTTATTCTGAGCAACTCTCAAAATAAATTGTTGATCCATAAATGGGAAAAAAAACATACTTGATTCTGCCTTATATAATAGATACAATTATCGTCCAAAAAACCCAATAGTTTCAGAGAGAAAAACTGGTGAGGATCAAATATGCTCAAGATTTAAGCTATCTCTCAGAACAAACTATTTTAACAATACCCTTTTCTGCACTTTTCTAACTGACCCAAAGTAGTGATTTCATTATTCTGAATTATTACTCTTGCAAAAAATACATCATATTGGCCAATATATAATTTGAATTCAGAATAAAAAAATAAGTTTGTATTGACAAACACAAACTGTACATAACTTGTTGTTTCTTCCTCCCTGCAGACACATGATGTGTTGACAGTCGCACTCAGTGATGACTCCCTTGAGGCCCCCTGCCTGCCTGTGGTGCGCGCTGCTGTCTGTGGCAGTGTCCCTGGACCTCCGTGTGGCCTACGTCACCCACAGCGGCCTGCACTACTACTCTTGTGTGCACGAACCCCAAGCCTGCAGCCTGTCCGCTCTCTCTGACTGCAGCTGTGAGGACCTGCAGCTGTCCTCCCCTGCACTCCAGCTTGTGCGGCTTACGGTTTGGTACACGTCAACCTCCAGCGCAGCACGACTTCTCAACAACTCAGAGGTGAAACATCTGACTCTCATTCGCTGTGCAGCAGGTGGGCCGAGAGGAGCCGCCCCTCAAGACAATCTGAGCCAAAACGGATATTTTGCAGTGCAGCACTTGGAGTGGCTGACTGTGGTTAATCTACAGAACAAGCCCATTCTGGACGAGGCCCGGAACAGTGGGCTGGACACAGAGAACGGTGCAGACCTAAGCACATTTGTGTACAACAGAGTCACGGACACATACCAGGATTTAAATACAGACTCAAAGAAAGAGTTCTTGGATTTACTCCCACCACAAAGTCAGGACCTCTTTCTTGGAAGGGAGATGGGTGCTGCCTTCCACGAACAGGTCAGACTGGGAGTGATCTACAGCTCAGTGCTGGACTCTGGGGCAGAAGTCAAAGCCTATACGGTGCAGACACACATAGGCAGTGATGGGCTACTACCTTTCCCTGAACTCCAGCTACCCCGGCTGGAGGAGGCATCCACCATATATGTCAGCTTTGTGTACTGACCATTGTGGAATAGCCACTCATCATTAAAAGAGACACAATACACCTCTTTACTGCCCACTCCAACCCCCCCATCACCACCACAACCACTTTCCCCAGAACATTTACTCTCGTTCAGCTTGACATTTATTATTGTGTATTGGGCGCCATGTTCCCACGGTTCTATGTCCACACTAGGGCTGCACAATTGATGCCAAAATATCTAATTGTGGTATTTTTGACTATTTTTACGATTGTGATGCACTTTTCTAAGTCTGTATGTTTGAAAAGTCATATTTTGTTCAGACTGTAACCTAGAGTACAACCATGGTCCTTTGTAGAAATAAAGGATTTACATAAACATACATTTTACAAACGCATTTTGGAATAAGCATTGTTTACTTTTTTTAACAAAATAGAGTCAGACCTGTTGTTGTGCAGTGCATTTTGACAGTTACAGCTTATATGAATAATGAAAAAGATTAGATGAATTAATACTTTTTCCCGAAATATTTTCAAATTAAGAGAAACGTTTTTTTTGTTTTTAGTTTGCAAATAATTGCAGACATTGTGATTTTCTAGCTGCGACCACAAAAGATATTTCGATTTGATTGCCATTAATTGTGCAGCCCAACTTCCCATAGTTCTATATTCCCATATGTTTTGGGTATAGGATCTGTTTGGGTTGTGAACAGTTTTCAATCATATTTTTAAAAGGTGAGAAATCTGGCTTGTGTGAACGCAAAACACTTGAAACATGTCAGTACAACAACACACACATTCCTGGGCCTATCAGTCCTCCTGAAAAGCAAAAAACTATGGCATTTTTTTTTGTCAGCGTTCTCCTGCCAATCTAGCCTGGTTGTACCACACCTTAGTACAAATTGCAGTGAAATGATGATTGAGCGGAGTGTATGAATGGCTATGGCCAGGCTACTGCCAATCTACTTTCCTCTGTTTCCTGTTCCTGTTTCTGTTTGTCGACCACAAGATGGCAGCAAATGCATTCTAACGAAACACGGTACATTTTGTTACCCTGTTGACTGTAATTGTAACGCGTGCAATAAAACGCACATTTTCTATGGTTATGTATTGCACTAAACTTATACAACGCGCTTTACAAAGAATAATTTAATTAGGCTACACGGAATTAAGTATAAATAAACAACTATTTATCATCACATCTTGTATTTTCTCGTGTGGGGTCCGCCACTTTCAATGACTACTGGGAGATTAGTTGTGAAATAAGCTTGTTGTTATTTCAAATAATGGTTTGTTAATTGAATTCGTTTGGAGATAATTGCAGTTCCCAGACGGACTCAGAATACGCCCTCTCGCTGCAGGCGCACCTGCAGAGGCCCGGGCTCTGCATGAATGGAGCTGATGACGCCTGTTGGCCCCGCAGCACAGCTCATGTACAACCAAATGAGTTTATGTGTGTCCTTAAGGCCAAAAGTTAGTTGTATGTTTGTGATAGGCCTATGGCCCGTGGTGTATCCTGGCTGAGGCCACTCCATGAATAGTTGTGTGCATCACCAAGAAGAAAATGAAAATTCCCCCATCCACCCAATCCCTCAGAGCGACGTTCTTGAACCACCCTGCCGCCGTTAAGCCCTAAAACATTTTTATAATCAAGCGTTATTGTTCGTCGTCTCCTTGTGGGAGATGCGCCCATGTTCATTTTTAAAAGGGCAAATCAGCCATAATTCAGTTTATAAACTGCGGCTCGCGGGGGAGAAATGTCTGGATGAATATTCATTAGAACTGCCAGCCCAGTGATTCATTAGGCATATGTAAATATCACTCACTTTAATTGCCCCTAAACTGACTCAACATAATGTTGTCATTAGCAAATTATTACTTATTTGTGATACTAATGGTACGGTATGGCGCACCGACTGCAGAGCCACATATCCTCCGCTTGTAATTGCAGCTCGTTTTATTCACCCGGCGTCTGCGAGGTCTGATGGCTCTGTCACGCACACGCACGTGTACGGACATCTATTCTCTGTGAGACGTACTGTACTGAGATAATGGGGCATTTATGGACCAGGAGGGTCTGTATCAGGGATGTATGATCTCTATACTATAGGCCTTCAGACTCATTAGAAACGACAAACGTTGACGTCTAAAGTCAAAATGCATGTTTGGCCCGACTGGTCCACTAATGTGCCATAAAAAGATAGACAATTAAAAAAAAAATTATTACACTTGCGTGTGTTACTATTTTACACACGTGCACATCATGTGTTTTGTTTGTAAGCACATTAACACAAAACGGTATGGGTGGATTTTTATGTAATTTTCAGTTAATCTCTGGAGTGGGACAAGGTCACAAGGAGCACATGGTTTGATTTTGGAGGTGATCCAAAATACAGACTGGATCCAGGAATATTTTCAATGAATAGAACTTGTCTTGGCAGAGGCGTGCACTCCACAAGTGCTTTCTGAGTTTATTTTACTTTCAACAAAGTTACATTTCGGAGTGAAAAATAATTTATTTTCAAAGAATGTAAACTATTTCACAGGAGAAGCCGTTTATATTCTATGGCCTTGTTGAGTGTAGTTGTATATTTGGAGGGATAAGCTTATTTTATGCCATGCTTGTGAACAATCTGAGTGACCTTTAATTTTTCCTTTACATAGCACCTCAAATCATCCTTGGGACTGATCCTTGGAATAAACTGTTTTACTGTCATTTAGTGAAAAATGGAAGTGTTTCATAGATGCAGCAGTCTAACACAGCCACCATGACACAACAGGCCACAAACCAGAGCAGAGGGAGTGATGGGGAAGGGCGGGTTAGTGTGTGTGTGTGTGCGCGTGTGTGTGTAACAGAGCTAATAAAGAACTGTGATAGATGATGTCCCTTCTCCCAGAGGGACCAGTACCATGTAAATTGTCCCACACAATGCATTATGGATAAGGCAGTTGAGATTATAGCTTGTTAATGTGTCCCCCCCCTTCTTACATCCCCTCTGCTTCGGCTCAGGCTCTGAAATGGTCACCTCATTGTCAGGCCACGAAGGTCTTTTGGTGCAGATGGAACAGGAGAAGAGCGGGCGGTGCAGATCTGGCAGACTTCACCCACCAACTTTGTGAATACGTATAATTCATTACTCTGGGGGCATAAATCAGCTCGGTCACATAATGGGAACGGCTCCCATTTGTAAAACAAGGGTGAAGGATTATGTGCAGGGTGACGCAGAAACACATAAAACTCAACTACAAATGACTGACACCTTCACAGTTCTTTAGAATAAACTCTCCTTTGGAATCCTTTTCTGAGCAAGAATGTAGTAGATCAGTCAGAAGTGGAAGAAGTTGTGTCAAATGGAGACATTTGCTTTCTAATCAAAGACCAACTCTCAGTGGTTCACTGTGGTGGCCCTGATTTAAAATCCCAAACTAGGCATTCCAACCTTTGTAATTATAAAAAAATCAAATCATAAAATGGTGAAATATAATTTAGATCATCATCCTCCTGACTTGGACTTGGAAAAAGAAGGAAATAAGTGACATATTAATATCTATAAAATACCTAACAAATATGATTTTTATAATATAATCTAACAGTTATTGTGATACTGTTACAATATTCTATTCTTAGTTGCCGATCAAATTGACAAAAATTCACACTTAAAAAATATACAGCAGTGGTCACCAACCTGTGCCTCAAGATCAGTAGATTCACATACTGATCTGCAAAGTTGAAGATGCATTACATTAACTATTTGTAAGTATAATCTATTATTTTAGGAAGGGAATATGGGACTAATAACAATGATTATTTTTTTGTAAATTTTTAGTTTTTAGTGTTCATTTTATTTTCATTTTGATTTGAGATTGAAACTTCAAATCAAATGTTTTACTTAGACCTACTGTATAGACAAGCTGCTTAAGTCCTATGTGCCGGCCTGACCTGCTGTTCCTCTTTCAGCGGTGCTCACCCACTACGTCTTATGGAAGTGCTGTTAAGGCCAAATCAGGCTAATAATGGGGCTGAGGACAAACATGCTCCATCCATCTGATCACGACCCTCACAATGTACACTAAGCTTAGATGAGGCGCGGTGTGTTGTGGTGGGCTGCAGTTTGTGGGTGGTGGCCCGGGCCTATTAGAACGGGTCAGCTCTCTCCCATGGACTGTTTTCACGGCTATGGAGCGGATTAGGAGCAGCGAGAGAGAGAGAGGCTGAGATCCTGGAGAGGCTGCAGAGAGGAGGCAGACGAGAGCCTAAAGGTTTATATTTGTTTGTGGTGTTTGTGATAGTTTAGTGAGAATAACAGGGACGCAGGAGAATAGTCATTGTCAGATATCAAAAGCACATAGAGTTAATATGAAAAACAGAAAAAAGGACAACCACCAGACTATATGTTTCTGCATTATACAGGATTTGTACTAGCTTCTTTATTATGCCAAAGTTACTGATGCTATTATCCTGGATTCTTTATTATGCTAAAGTTACTGAGGTTATAATACTAGCTTCTTTATTATGCTAAAGTTAGAAATATTGTACTTAATTCTTGCTTCTTATTATAGATTATATACTACTTCCTTCCTATGCTAAAGCTAGAGATTTTTTGTAATGTTATTTTATTTAGTAGAGAGTTTAGTATAGAGTTATTAAGTATAGAGTACCGTATAGAGCTGTGTTTGTTGATCTTATCCTGTGCCCTGTTCATTTACCTTGTGCTGTGTGTTCATTCCTACTGTTCTGTAACTGGTGATGCAACACTGAAATTTACCCAGTGTGGGTCGAATCTCTTAATCTTAACCATCATGATCAGTGGTTAAAGCAGAGTAGGGTTGGGTGATTCGACTTCAGCCGATCGCAGTGAAAGATATGTGAGAAGCTACGTTATTTTGCAGAGTACGTTTACGAAACTCCAACTGAAGTGTGAAAAACCAGGTGCACGCCTATTCTAATGCGGTTGAGCTGCATGTGAACGCATCGATGGGATTGGAAGGGGACATCGGGCAGTGGTGCACTTGAGAGCACACAAGTAACAAGCAAGTATGA